TACCACATAGCTCGTGGGAAAGCTTGGTCCCGAATAAAAAAAGATCCTGAAGCTTGGGTGCGGTGAGGCTTAGTGGTTTAGCTTAGGAATTTCAGCTCGGGGAGACCTATCTTTTCTGTCTTCAGATCCCATGATATCATCTTTCGAGTTTTCGGATCAACCTCTGACAGAAGCGAGTTCAGCCTGAAAGTGAAATATTCCGTAACAAATTAATCTAATACCTAAGCTATTATGAGGCTAGATCTCAACCACCACCATGCACCACCGGATCATCGGGAACAGCGATCGAACAAGCAACAACTTAAACTGTGTAACTTGTTGAAAACGGGTTTCGTCCCAAAATATTGGTACATAAAGTTTAGTTTCCAACTATCTAAACGGTACTAGTAAACGGTTTATTACAACATTTCGTGAGGTTTACCTAACTAACGTCAGTGTGCGTAATATATTATACGAAAGATTACGGACTCATAGTGGCAAGACAGTTAGGAATGTCTATCCCGCGGTCAGTTGGATTATTCAATCGGAAAAGGTTCCACAAGCGCTCTCACACATAAACCGAAAATAACAACAGTCGATGCATACCATACGTACGTAAGATAAATTGTTAAGCAGGGAGCTCGAGCTCGTCGAAATTAACTAGCCAGCTATGTGATAGTCGTCTGCCTTGCAGGAATGCGATACTCTATCAAAAACTATTAGATACTTAGTATGTAACAACTTTTTTCCTATAAAAATTAAAAATACCAAACGGTGAGAACTCCTCCGTCGGCACGTTTACATGATCTTCCTTTCGAAAATTTCTGAAGATAATGTAATTGAGGAAATCTTTGAAAATATGATAGATCGGGTTTAATGCCTCATCATATGAACGAAGATCGAGACGAGTAGGATGCCTCAGGTGCTCCACGCCGACACCCAAAGGTACATTTTGGTACTTCTGATCTATACATCGCGAATTATTCCCAATTATATTTACTGTCAATATATCAAAAATCCAAAATATATGCCGAAAAAGTTGCATGTGTATCATCAGCATCGTCACAGCGGCACAAAATGTCTCATAGTATACTGCTTCAGCAAATTCGATATTCACCCGTCTACGCAGCAGTGCAAGTTACACAGAGAGCACCCCCAAACACTTTCATATGCGGGTGGTAATATAAGTTCGTAAAAGACGACAGATGTGTCGGGATCACAATCAAGGTTTTTTTCTTCTCTCCCTTTCTTCCCACGGTGCGAGGGGTCCGCGGGGGCGATAGCACGAATACCCCGCGGTTAATTCGCATCTTTCCCTTAATCTAATCTATTCATCCAAAGAAAATGGATGAATTTTTAATCTATACGGCTGTTACATGAGCTCATTTCCGCCCCAATTATCGCCAAGTTGTATTGGCACATTAGATGCCCTTGTATCTAACTAGGTATCCTAGTATATAAAATTGCTCTCGTGAACAATGTTCCCTCATATAGATGTGTCAAGACACAGTTGATCTATGGTATGTGTTATCTACCATCTGATTTATCAGATCAAAAAGATTATCCTGTTATGAATATGGGGAAACCTTGAAAGTATCAGGCCATGTCTGTCCATACATACTTGCATCTCAACCCTCGAGGGTCATGGAGAATCTCGGCGAAAATCGACGAAC